GTGAAAGGCAATTTTATTTTTACCTTTTTTTTTTTTTTCGATTTTTCTGCTTCCTCGACCGGTTCTTTCTTGGCAGACTCTTCTTTCTTTTTGGCCGGCTTTTCAGATTTCTCCTTGAAACCTACAGGGTTCTCCGACGTGACTCTCTTCATTCCATCCTTCATGAGTTTCTCCTAGGGTTTATTTCTTTCCTCTTCCCCCCTGGTCTCCTCCTCAATCCTTACCTTGTCCTTGCCCTTGAGAAGTTTGGTCACCGTTACTAACGTCGGGGTATTACTGTCAATTTTGGTCTCAAGGTGGACAAGATAAACCATCATGACCTGCAATACAGATGCAAGATCAGTTTCTGTTAATTCATAATTAAATCGTTGCCTCATTTCATCCAACATTTTTTCTTACTGTTCTTTTTCTTCTTTATTTCTCCGATATTCTTCTATTTTTTTTTTCTTTTCCTTTAGTGAATTTTATACTTGTTTGATGTTTTCCTCCATGATCTCTTCAGACAATTCTTTTTTTTTTCTTTTTTTTTTTTCCTCTTATCCTTTTTATCCCCCTATTGTTCTCATTTGGTCCATTTTTTTCCAGATGTTCGGTGACATAACGATAAAGAGTCATTCGCCCTTGCTGGATGAGTTCTTCGACTCGCTTACCGGTTTTCAGCATCTGAATGACAGTTTCAGTGACCTTCAGTTCATCTTCTGCAGCAAGCAGATTGAATTGTCTGTGAATATGCCGTTCAACTTCTGACCCGACTCCATGTTTCTCGTCGAACAACTGGTGGAGAAGGCCTATTAACATTTGTCTTCTCGCATTTATTTGACCACGGGTTTTCAAGACCCCTCCCTCTTCATCAGCATAGACGGTGAGAGGGATAGGAAAAAAGAAGAGAGGAATGTATGTTGTAAGAATGATGACACCCAAATATTTCCAGAGAGAGGTCATGTTTCCAAGCGCGTGATTGCCGCACAATAAATAATTAGAAGATATTAAATACACATACATACAGGGTCACCAGCCCGTACGTACGGAGGTCCCCGGACAGACCTCCGTACGTACGGGTGTTCGGGGTCCCGTACAAGGTCCGAACCCGACGGCGTTCGGCCCCCGCCGAAAATTATTTTGGGGCCTAAAAATAATTTTTCTGAATTCTTTTTGTGAGTTTTCTATGACGTGAGGTACATGCCTGTAAATTTTCAAGTCATTTGGCTAAGCCCAATAAGAATTAAAAATCGCCAAAGATGGTGGTGTCAAAATGTGCTCGCCCACGTATTTTTTCACTTTCTACTTTTTGTTTTCACTTTAGTTCGGGGTCTAAACAATTTTATTATTTTTTTTAACTTTTTAAGTGAGTTTTGTATTATATGAAGTACGCATCTGTAAATTTTCAGGGCATTTAGCTATGCCCAAAATAAATGAAAAATCGCCAAAGATGAAGGTGTCGAAAACATGCTCGTGCACTCACTAAATTTAAGTCTTTTTTTATTTTTATTTATTTTTATTATTAGTATTTATTTTTTATATTTTATTTTTATTTCTAATTTGGTAAGAAATTCGGATGTAATGCTCAAACAAATTATGTTTAATTTATTTTTCTCCATAACATATTTGTTTTTCAGATTTTTTCGATTTTTTTTTTTTTTTTTTTTTTTGTCCGCGTTCGGCCCGAACGGCCGAACGCATCCCCAAGGGATCCCATACGTTCGGGCGTTCGGGTTCGAGCATTCCCTACATAGATAAATAATTAGAAGATATTAAACCACCAGTACCTCCGAGCCTGTTTTTGCCAACCCTGATTTTCACTGCACTCCGAGTTTTGCCGAGCCTGGGTCCCACTCCATTTCTTTATGGTACTCTCACGGAAAGAAAAAGAAAAGAAAAGAAAAAAGTTGCAGCCGTAAAAATTCACAAAACAAGAAAACGAAACAAAGCTCTGGGCGTGATTGCAACTGTATAGATTCTCGGAAGTTTTCAGTGAGGGCATCTCAGCCCCGTTGCCAGGTTGTTAGATTCCAAAAAAAAAAAAAAAAAAAAAAAAACATACGGATTCGACCGTGAAAATGGCAAGATACATTCCGGTAAGTGTCAGTGTGATCAGGGTTACAATCCTCTGAGGGAACACAGCTCGAGCAGATCACGGATTCAAATTGTCAAATTAAAAAAAAAAAAAAACGAAAACACGGATTTGGCCTTGAAAACGGCTGGATACATCAGGGTTACAATCATCTGAGGAAACACAGCTAGAGCAGATAACGGATTCCGCCCTGCCTCGTTGGCAGAGGACACATAACAAACAAAAGAGAAATAAAAAAGAGAAAACAACAAGTTTCTGAATGTGACTGTCTTTGTTGTGAGATGCATTCAAGACATACCCTGCCCGACATCATTGCAGTACAAAGGCCTTTTTTTTTCCTTTTCCTTTCGTGCACGGGCAAAAGAAAAGTATGATTTATGGGACATTGCCGCCCCTGTGTCCGAACCCCGAAAAGTTTGGGTACTGGCCAGCATCACGTAATTTCCCAACAGTGGGGGAGGTACTGGTGGTTTCTTGGTTGCAAGGCCGGCCTACCAGTATTATACACATACTTAAACCGAAAAACGAAAACAACGCGAAATGAATTCTTCCCTCTTTCCAAAACTGGGAAACCCGGCCGCTGCCCACCTCCGCCAACAGGTTGCCCACCCTTCAAGCCCTACCACGACCCTTCAACCTACCGGCCTTGTAGGCGTGGTGGCGACCTCACCCTTCCCAGGTACCCTACTACACCCTCAGACATTCTCCATTCGGAAGGCTGCTACAAACCCCTAAACCACCTGCCTACAATTGCTAAATTTCTCCGACCAGCAGACGATCCCGGCCCTCCGTTCTTTTGCCATGCGAAGGTGCCGATTGGCTGCTGATCGTTTCCCGGAATGATCAACTCTCAATCTCGACCGTGACCGATTTTATATAGCACGGTCCAGATTGAGAGTAGATTGTTAGGAGCTGAACAGTCGCGGGAGGGCGGGATCGCGGGCGGCACGGGCCGCGTGCTACAGTAGTTACGCGCGCAGTACACGCCCTGGCCCCGCGGCGAATTTTGGCCGGTGCCACTGGCGGACAAGCTCTGCCCGGTACACTGCGCAGATCCCCCGCACGCGGCCGCTGGTTCTCTGTTTGGGAGGCGGCGCCACAAAAAAACCCTGCGCCATTCCTTCGGGGCATCCGTTCGACTTTGAAACTCGCCTCGGACGTCCGTTAACGTCGGCTTTGAAACTCTACTCGTACTCGGACGTGTGTGAGAGAGACGCTCGACTCTCGACTGGCTACGTAGTCTTTGTATGGTACGCTGGACTCTCGACTGGCTAGTCGGACCGTCTACTGGGACGTGTGTGTGTGTGTGTGTGTGTGTGTGTGTGTGTGAGAGAGAGAGAGAGAGAGAGAGAGAGAGAGAGAGAGAGAGAGAGAGAGAGAGAGAG